CTATACAGGGTCTCTATGGGTTGATACTGACTTGACAGCACTTAACAACAACAATGTGATGGCTGGAACTGTAGCTGCTTTGGCAGGGCCAGACCAAATGATTCAGCTGGCCTTATATGGCCCACGGGCTGGACATTCCCACCTCTGGTCTAAAGTCATACAGCTGCTTGGATTTGAGTCCAGTCTGACTGACTGCCACCAAGCTGACAAACATAACACCAGACTGAGAGAAAGGGGTGCCTAAAGGAGGGAGCACTAACCTAGGAACACACATGTCCAGAAACTGGATGCAAGTCTTACTGGGATCTACAAAGTAGGGTGGTTAAGAACATGAGCTCTGCCTGGGTTAAGTCAAATCTCTATGAAAAAGAACTCATTAACTGTGTGACATTTGTAGATAGTTCTTAACCTCTCTGAGGCTAAATTTGCTCATCTGTAAATAGGGATTATTAGTAATACCTGTGTCATCAGGTTGGAGTTCTGCAGTGCAGTGGGTTAAGTACTGGGCTATTAATAGAAAGGTCCACAGTTCAAAACTACCAGCCTCTTCTTGAAAGACAGGTGAATTTCTATAAAATTCTCTAAAACTATATAGTCTCAGAAACTCTATAGGGTAGTTCTTGACAACAGTGGCTTTGGATTTTTAGGTGGCATTTGATGAAGCTGGACTCCTGGTTCCGACTCACAGCGAACCTGTATAGGGTTTCTGAGAAGCAGCTGGTGAGTTTGAACTGCTGACCTTGTGGTTAGTAATCCAGTGCTTATCCTACATAGCCACACAAGGAGCCCTTTAGCATCTCCTTAAAAAGAAAGAAATTCAAGCAAACGTTTCTAGAATATCCACTGAAAGAAAAGTCAAATGGTTAACTCACCATTCACCAGTCCACCTTCTGCCATGATGCCCTTTGAAAGGCAAGGTTGTGTGGGGCACGTACCAGATAGCACTTATTTGTTAGAGTCAAGGGCATGATCAGGTGTCACCACTACAGCAACCCAGCCAGATTGAAGCCAGAGCAATCAGAGTGGACTGGTGAGCAGACCCCAAGCAAGTGCTCCTAACATGTGAACACTGAAACCAAGGGACACAATATACTCAGAGTTCAGGCTGAACTTTGTTCCCAAACAAAGCCTTCTTTCTGTATGGCCCAGAAACCTACAGAGGTTACTTGTGACCACCTAATCATCCTTTGACCCAGGCACCTGATATTATATGTGAACTTTTATCTTCTCCTTTTTTAAACCAGGGACGAAATTTTCCCTTTCGGACACCATGATAACAAATCAGTGCCTGCCAGGAGCTAGGGAAGGGTCCATGAGGGAAGTGGGTAGCTATGAAAGGCAGTATGAGGGACTCTGTCGAGTTTCTGTACCTTGGCTGCATCAATGTCAGTGTCCTAGCTGTGAGACTGTACTAGAGTTCTGAAAGAAGTTTCCTTTGTGGGAAAAAACAACAACAGGGTAAAACATACACAGGATCTCTGTGTTTATTACAACTTCATGTGAATCTGTAATTACCTCACAATAGAAACTTTGATTTAAAAACATATCTGACCCAAGTATGAAACCCTGAGAGGGTCTGAAAGAGAGAGAAAACAAAGGACATACTACCTTAGGATCCACAACCAGGAGAGGAGAAGGAGAGCCCATGCCAGAGCTGATCCTGTCCCTCCTTTAATTCAATAATGGACCCAGGATAACATTCAGGTAACCTTTTCATACAGGAGGTGAGAAAACAGCCAAACTCCATTTTATATTAACATACTTCACTAATTAAGTCTTGCTTTGAATAAATTCCAGTTGTCTTGGTGGCTGCAGCAATGAAGTTTTTAAATTTAATTCTGAAATCCATTTTATTAGCCTGTGACACTCTCCAACTACAAAATTAGTGAGCTGCTATTAGTCAGTTGTTCATCCAACCAGTAAGCTTCTAAAAGGTAGATAGAGCCTATGTCCTGTTCATTCATCAAACCCTCAAAGGGCCTTGCAATGTTTCTGCACATAGCAAGCACTCATTATATTCTGAGTTCATAAGAGGGGTAGAGAAGCATAAACTAAGCACGCACTGAAAGTAAGTGCTGAAGTGGGTGTAAACACACGTTTTCCACAGTCCTGGAACAGAATCAGGACAAGAACTCTATCACTAGCCTGAGATGGAGGCAGGGAGGATGATGTGGAGAGATGCAGCAGCTGGGGACTTTTGACCCAGAGAGGGAGGGGGTTGTATGCTCATGGGAGGGGAAGGCAGGAGGCTGGGGGAAGCAGACTTGTAGGATATACCCTTTGGTAGGTTGATGATGCATGCAGGGGATCGAAACCATGTCAATGAAACAATACACGATAGGATGAATTTAAAACTAATGTTCTCATATGTAAACTATCAAATAATTCACAATAAAACATTGAAAGGAAAAGAGCTCTATCAATCAAGACTGGATCTGTGGCCTGAACCACTTAACACTTCTAAGACTCCATTTCTGCCTTTTTACAAGTGGATAAAAGGACACTTACTGGAATGTTAGATCTGAGGACTAACCCTCTTGGAATTTATCAATGGGCCACACTAAAGTCAAGTGACAGTGTTCCAAATGGAGTGACATATAAGTGATCCAATCAACACCCAAAGCAGAATTCCAAATCAACAGCCTAAACCAACTGCCAGCCTGAGAGTGAACCATGTTGAGTCTCTGGTCCAGACAAACCTCAGACTGACTACTCCAGTTACCTACTTTCCTTGCTAAGTCCATGAGAAACGAAAAGACTTTTTGTTCTACGCTTGTGGGGCAGTTATTTGCAAACAGCTAAAACCAGAAGATTGGGAAAACAATCTAGAAAGGCAAGCAAACAGTGCTTCCTGAGAAGCCAGCACACTGACTCTGCCCCAGATGACTCCAATTCATCAGATGCCCCAACTCAAACTGCTGGCTGCACTTCTCCCTTCGTTGGATTCCTGACTCACACTGCTGCCTGCCTGGCCCCAGAGGGTTCTAGCCTCTCTCTCATGTGGGTTTGAACTGCTCTCCGCTCAACCAGCTACCCAATGCTTAACCTGTGTGTGTGTGTGTGTGTAAATAAAAAAAGCTTCTTCAGTGATACAATCAATTGTACTCAACTACTAACATAAAGATTGTTGTTGTTGGGTGTCATCTAATTGATTCTGAATTCTAACAACCCCTTGTCACAACAGAACTTTCCCATAGGGTTTTCTTTCCAGTAATCTTTATTGGAGCAGAAAGCCTCATCTGTGTCTCTCAGAGCAGTTGGTGGGTTTGAACCACCAACTTTGCAGTTAGCAGGTCAGTGCTTATCCTACAGCATGACCAGGGCTCCTTACTTACAGATTCATTTATACCATAAAATATGTACTCTGGAAGGATAAACAACAAAAAAAAGAACATTGTGAACTTTCAGGGAAGACAACTGGTATGTGAGCGGGAGAAGCATTCCACTGAATGCCATTTCTCCTGAAAAGGAGAAAAACAAGGACTAGAAGGAACCAAATGTTCTAATAGTCCTAAACACACCCCCTCCCCCCACTGCCCAAGAGCGTTGGTGTTAGCTTCCAAATCCCAGTTGCAGGGTTTCCTTTGGGACTTAGCTGAAGAAGAGGTAAAATCCACCTAAACTAAGAGAGCAAGGAAAGGAAAATGGGAAGCTATTACTAGGACGTGAGGTGTTACCCCTCAGGCGAGCTGTTAGCAAAGTTAGTTGCATACAGAAGTGATCTACAACAAAGTTTAAATGGTTTGGCATTGTATTTCATAGACGGATCAAAAACGTCACCGCATGAATAATTCCTTTTAATATGGCTGTCAACCAAATGAAGTATAATTGAAACACAATTTCTTTCTAATATCTCAAACCAAAAAATTAAAAAAAAAAAAAAATCAATTTAAGTCCATGATTGGCAATGTAGGACTGGCAGGCCAAATCCAGCCTACCACCTCTTTTTGTAAATACAGTTTATTGTATTACAGCCAGCTTGTTCGCAAGCATATTGCCTATGTCTGCTTTCACGCTACAGCTGCAGAACTGAATACTTGTGACAGTGGCCCTTTACAGAAAAAAGCTTACTGACCCCTGATTTCAATGATCATGATTTGCGACAGGGTGATATATCTGACCAAAGTTTCATAAAGAACAGTGATAATGAGCCAATGATTAGCAAGGTTCCCTCAAATAGCAAGGAGATCAAGAAGTTTATATTAGACATAGTTGATACACTTGATATAAATTGTAGATTTTTAAAATACATGTTCAAATAATTCAACAATTTTTTTTTCTCCCTGATTCAGTCACTTTATCATTAGGGCAAGAGAAGAGATAGTGTCTTATTATTTTTATGTAGCCCAAAAAAAACTCACACCGCAAAGGGTGAAGAAAACGGAGTCATTCTATCTCTCTCATCTGCTGGTGTCAGAACCAAGATGAGAACTGCCCTCTAGATTCCAGATGCCCATTTTCTCCTTTCAGCTACTGAAGACGTGTAGCCCTGGACGACAAGGTGGGATGTAATGGCTAGCTCCTCGTTTTTCTGGTCCGGGGTTCCACAATTGCTGCATTTCTTTCTGGGGAAGGGTGGTTTTGTTCTTGGTTTTCTTTTCTGAGAAATGGTGACTGACTCAGTCATGATTGCTATTACGTTTGTAGGCTGTTGGCATATCAGGCACTTGCTGACTGGGAGAGTTTTCTGTCATGAGTTCATGTTCCTATGGCGCCAAATGGAAGACAGATCTCTAAGCTGAGTTCCCACGATTCTATACACTCAAAATCTCAAAATCTTCCTCCAGGTCAAACTCTTCTAGTTGCTCCGTAGAATCAATGAATTCTATCAGAATACAGAGAGGAGAAAGAAGTAAAGTTTGTCAGTTTGAAGCTTAAGACTGTGGATTTTACAATTCTTTTGCTGAAGAGAAATGTGCCTGGGAGAGACTTACCCATAGGACCAATGTAAAGTATTCAAAATGCTCTAAAAAGCATCAAAATGGCTGGACTAATTACATACTCCTATTCCATTCTGTGAACAGTAATGGGGCTGAAGTTCTACAAGACCCTTGAAGTACCTTTTAACCACCCACGGACTCCGGTTTGTTATTCTGAACCGGACCATGGAAACAAAATTCTCCTTTTGAGAGAATTGCTAGAATTCTGCTCATTTGCATAGGACTTTAGCACTGAGTCAATTTTCTTATCCTCTCGTTCTTTGAAAGTGCTGACTATCTGTTCATCAGAAAATTAAAACAGTCCGAAGCAACATTCCTTGGCCAGTCTAGCTGAGGAGACAGTGTATTTTCCACAGAAAGCCTAAGCGACCCCTGCCCCTCAGCACTAGCTCACCTGCCCCAGTGGTCGTCACTTCTGGCTTGGTTGGAGGTACAAAGGGAGGCCAGTGCGATGGGTGTTTCTGAACTAATTCAAACATTCTTAAATTCTCCTTTAGAATTTCCTGAGAAGACATAGAAACAGTTATAAGTACTGGGGATTCACTTCATTTGTTTTGTTACCTCTCTATCCAACTGGCAATCTCTGATCCCAAACCTGAAGAGAACGGTCTAGCTGGTGGAAGGTAAAAATCAAGGTTTACTAGAAGCAGCCTCTCCCCTACGGGACCCATCTGAGCCCAGCCTCCTTCATAATTCGAGATACTGTCAATCCAGAAGGAAGACGGGAGCAGCTAGATCTGCTGGCTAGTACTGGAGCAGCCAGTACTCATTGCGCATGCTCCAGTGTGAGCTTTGGGCCATAAGCCAGTTACTTATGGTCGCCGCAGTTTAGGAGTTGAGACACAGCTGAAGTGTGAGTCTAAAGAAAACACTGGTTAATCAAACTGAACTTGATCCAAGATGACAATGAACTTGCTTTCTCTTGCTTTTATTTATTATTTTTCTTTCCAGGTTTGACTTGGTTTCAATTTTAGTCCAGTATTTATGGAATATGCTCTAATTTAAATGGCATAATCTTATCAGAAAATTCTCTTTTTAACTTTTCACGTGATATAAATGCAATTTTACTTCATTCTAGAATGTAAGTATAGCCCATTATTAACTGGGATTTCTGATTTGGATGGGGACATTATTGTTAAGTGCTGTTGAGTCGGTTATGACTCATAGTGACCCTGTATAGAGTTTCTGAGGAGTATCTGGTAGGTTTGAACCACTGATCTTGCAGTTAGAAGTCCAGTGTTTCTCCTACAGTATCACACCAGGACTCCTAAATGGGGACATTAGTGTCAAGTGGACTCCTGGTGTGACGCTGTAAGATAAGCAATGGACTGTGGACCACTGGTTCAGTGTTTCGGCACTTCAAACCTACCAGCTGCTCCTCAGAAACCCTATACAGCATGGCAACAAGTCAGAATTGACTTGATGGCACTTAACAACAATGTAACAACAGTGTCAAGTACTTGCTTGCTTGTGAAGATAAATCTTCCCTCCCAACCTTTACAAAGGGCTCCAAAGCTCTCATTTCTACAATCCCTTTGTTTTAGAGCTATAACATCGTATCTCCTGCCACCGCCACAACCCCCCATCCAAGGCTCTTTAAAGTACTCTCTGTGAACTTCCTTCATTCTTTCAATAAACATTTATCATGGGCTTCCATGTATTAGCCCATGTTTGAAGCGGACACTGAGGGAGGCAGGCAACTGATTGGTGAGTCAGAAAATTATGTCCTTTGATGCAATGAAATAGAAAAAAGAAAAAAAAGAACTAGCATTGGACCACGCGGTCGGTTTGAACCGCAAGGTCGGCAGTTCAGATTTACCAGCCTCTCCTTGGAAACCCTACACAGGGTCGCTATGAGTCAGAAACAACTCCACAGCACTTAACAACAACAACAACAACAATGCACACTGTGTTTCCTTTAGGTGGGAGTGTGCCTACGCTGTTGTTTGTTGCTGTTGAATTGAGTCTGGCTCATGGCAATTCCATGTGTGCAAACTTGAACTAGGTTTTCAAGAAACAGATCACCAGGACTGTCTTCCAAGGTTCAAACTGCCAACCTTTTGGCTAGTAGTCTAGAGCTTAACCAATTACACCAGCCGGGAGGGTTCCTTAGTGTGCCTATATTTCATGAGTCAAACAGTTAATGAGCACACATAGCTATAAATGGGCCTCTATGCAAATAGAAAAGTAGTGTCATTTCTCCAAGCACCTCAATGTTATGAGCAGAGAAAGGAAGTATGAGGTACAGCTATATGAAACTGGCATAGTTCAGATCACGACAGTAGACAATTCCCTGAACATCTTACAACTCACCTCAGTATTTCATATGACTCTCAGCATAATCCGATGAAACTTTGAGTAGTTAAAAACTGTGCTCATTTGACATACCATGCATAGTTCAAATGGGAATTTTACTTCAGTTTGCTAAAAGTTATGCAAAATTCCCCTCATCTCAAAGTGTTTTTGTTGCCTTACTTTGTTTCTCCTGCCATACTCATATCAGACTAGGTTTGTGTGTCTATGCAAAACAATCTTGAAAAGTCATTTTCAGGTTTTCAAAGTCAGACAAACATTACCTTCTGAACCAGGCTACACCAGTTGTCAAAGTCTTTTTCTTCTTTGCAGAAAAATCCCTTGGGGAGGAGCAAAAGAATACAATTTAGAATTGGCCGGAAGTATCTAGGCAGGAGCTTTGTATTAGAAGATAGAGTTGTGGACCCAGAATTAGGATGGGGGCCACTCTTTTTGGATGTGTCTTCCCCAATGAAGGAAGATTGGCTGGGCTTCTCCCCCTCTGAGCTAAGCAATACATGCACATCTGTGCATAGGCTCGCTTGCTTTTTCTCGCTTTCATTTTCTCTCCGCCTCTATCTCCCTGTCTATCTCCCTTTATCTTTATTCCTTTCCTTTCCTGGCCCTCTACCTTCCCTGTCCCTCCTTCTCTTACATTTTGAGATCCTAGCAACTTGAAGGCCAGTCTCCAAAGTATGGGGTTAATTCCATTACATTCCGTGCACAGATATCCACATCTATAAAGAAGACTCAATTAAGCCAGCAATCAAAAGTCAAATCATACTTGTGGCTGGCGGCATGACTTAATAAGGTGGCTTGGACCTTATTAGGAAATTAGCTACTTGAATAAAGAGAACACTCGGCCTCCTTCTCCATCCTCAGAGTCGTCCTAGGTTAGGGAAATAGTGGTTCTAAGTAACAGGGAGGAGCTCTGATAGCGTGTGAACCACAAGGTCAGGAGTTCGAAACTACCAGCTGTTCCGCGAGAGAAAGATGAGGCTTTCTGCTCCCGTAAAGATTTAAAGCCTCGGAAACCCTGTACAGGGTCGCTATGAGTTGGCACCGACTCCACAGCACATCACCACCACCACCAAGTAACAGGGAGCTCTGTGTACTCTCAGTGACTGGTGCTCTAGCAGATGGGTTCAGCTAGAAGAGGAGATGTTAGTGGGCCTCAGAACCATCGGATACTTCACAGGAAGATGCCCTTCAATGTGTGGAGGCAACAGACATATTCCCAGGGTCAAAACAACAAGAACAAACTGCCCCCTCCCTGCAACTTCCTGGCTTGTGTGCACAGAGAAATGAGCCCAGTCCATCCGTGGGGGATTGTTCCCTTCTCTCTCCCTTGCTAGGCTCCATCATCAATAATTAGAGGGCAAGAAGGAAGGCAAAGGGGGAAAGATATCATTACAAATAATAGCTAACATTTATAGAATGTTGCTTACTATTTGCTAAGTGCTTTACACACATTAAACTTCATACATTCTTCACAACAACCCTATAATGAAGACTTATTACTTTCCCCCTTTTTAGAGATGAGAGGATCGAGGCTCAGACTTGCCCTAAGTCCAAAGCTAATAACTGACAATTCCCACTTGAGCAATTTGGCTCTAAAGTCCATTCCTTATCCACTATGCTACACTGCCGCTCATGTGAGTGGTTAAGAGAACATCCTCTTGCTACCCTGACCATAACTCCCAGTGAACCAATCTGTAACAGGGTAGCATAGTGCTCCTCGGTACGCTCAACCTTGAGACACCCACCAAGGCTACTGAAGGATCCAAGTTCAGGATGTTCATTCGCTGTGGGGATTGCAGGCAATGGAAAGTCTGGTCATCCACCATTCCATTCTCCTCGGTGTCAACAAAGGTCTGAGTTGTATGAGGGTCCAAGAAAATGAGCTCATCACCTGTTTTGAATGAGACATGCTTAGCCTTCCAGAAATCCTGGGTCCTGGCACCACTGCTGCCCTCAGGAGGAGCCCTGGGGTTTTCCTACCCCCTCCCTTGATGACAATGAGAATGGGATGACAGAAAGCCTGCAGCCAGGGGGAGCATGCTTGAAGGATGCTACCAGAGCCCACATCCAGTCAACGAGAAGACTTGCCCTAGGGTTGATATCTCTTCAATGTCCAAGTTCCCAAATGGAAAGTGACAGGTTTGGGCGCAGGAGGGCATGAGAAGCCACAGATGACATGGCAGGCTCTGTGAGCAGCAGTAGCAAAGAGATAGCAGGTAGACTCGCCAGCCTCTGGCCAAGCAAATGGCCTCCTCAAAAGCAAAGCTACCCACACAGGCTGGGAAGGCTAACTCTGCTCTGGATGAGAGACCAACAAGCTGAGTTCTGGTTTGGATTAACTATCAAGTTAGTCACTGTTAGCAAGTTAGTAATTCCTGTTGGAAAGTGTTGTCTGTGTCCCATAAACATGAGCTGAGATACACCCCACTGGGAATTCACTCTGAGATGATCGACCCTTTACAAAGGAGAGAAAAGTCAGGCTTCAAGACATTGAAAAGCCTGTCCAAATAACGGCCTAAGAACTGAAAGGAGTTTAGGAGACGGACATTTCTTGCTTTATCCAGTATCTGAAGGGCAGAAAGTTCCCTAGTGCTCATCAGAGGTGAGGCAAGTACACAAGGGGACCCAAGAGAGAATTCTAACCTCACCACTGTCCAAGCTCGGGGACCACCTGAGTTTCTGAGGCCTAGACTGGCTCAGGCAACCTAGACAGCTCTACTTTGGCTTGAGAATGGAGTAGGAAGGGCACCCCAAAGCCCCTCCCTGAAATGGCATGTAGGCTTGTGTTGTTGGTGGTGATGCTTTTAAGTACCGTCGAGTCAGCCATGGCTCACAGTGACCCTGTATCGGGTTTGCGAGGAGTGACTAGTGGGTTTGAGCCACCATACCAGGATTGTGTTGGCTACCCTAAAACACTTCTGTTGGAAAAGAAGATGTTCCCGATGCTGAATTTTTCTCTATCACAAACCTGACGGAAGACAATGAACTCACTCTCTGTCCACATTTCTCTGCTTGCAAACTGGGGTCATCGAGCCTGTTCTAGTGCAGTGCTGTGGGCTAATGCTCGCAATTGCAAAGTTGGTTTGAACTGCAAGGTCAGTGGTTCAAGCTCACCAGCCACTCCTCGGAAACCCTATACAGGATCGCTATGGGTAGGAACTGATTCGACGGCGCTTAAAGAAGAAAAGTGGCCTCACAGGGTATTATAAGAAATGGGAAATTTCACCTTTTTGATGTTTGTTTTTTTAAATATATGTTTAAAATAATGCACATTCAAAGTGATCATAGAAGTTTCCATTTACCTACAATATATGTCCAAGAGTATATGGAAATCAATGCCCTAATAAGGCTTGCATTATAAAAGTAAAAAAAAAAAAAAAAAACAACAACAAAAAACAAAGGCCCTGTACATTTCTCCGAGACCACATCTCTTGTAAGAGAAGGTCACTATGCCCAGACAGGTGGGCATATAAGATACAAAAAAAAAAAAAAAATATATATATATATATATATATATTAAAGCCCTCAAGTCATAACGAAGAGCAACAACCAAGTTCTTTAGAAGATAGCCTACCTAAGACCACAGAAAAGAGGACAAGAAAGCTGTGGACAACAAAATGGAAAGTATAAGCTGGGTTCGAACCAAGCAGTCGGCCAGGTTGTCCCGAGTTAAGGTGCTGGAAACCATAGCAGCATTTTTCCTGACTTTGGCCAAAACGTTTTTCCAAGCGTAAGGGTGTGTGTTGTGTACTAGAGTTTTGCAGGCTAATCTATTTCTGTGAATATTGTTGTTGTTATGTGCAGTGGAGTTGGTTCCAACTCATAGAGACCCTGTACAGGGTTTCCGAGGCTGTAAATCTTTACGGGAACAGAAATCCTCATCATTCTCCCGCAGAACAGCTGGTAGTTTCAAACTACTGTCCCTGAGGTTAGCAGCCCGATTCGTAACCACTACTCTGAGTATAAGAGATTATGTTGTTGTTATTGTTGTTAAGTGCCATTGAGTCGGTTCTGACCCATAGCGACCCTGTACAGGGTTTCCGAGGCTGTAAATCTTTACAGGAGCAGAACACCTCATCTTTCTCCCGTGGAGCAGCTGGTAGTTTCGAACTGCTGTCCTTAAGGTTTGCAGCCCGATTCGTAGCCACTACGCTACCAGAGCTCCTATAAGAGATTATAGAACACTTAAAAAGTCCTCACTTGGAATGAGGTCTGTTCAACCATGGTAGAGACCAAGCTGCTACTGCAGATCTCACAGTGGCAATCCATACCCACGGACATTCTCTCTCAGCAGGCAGCATGGGACTGCCAGATCCACCTACACCTAGAGCTTCTTCCAGCCTCCACTGGGAAGGAGGGTCCTAGAGGCATAATGCCATGTGATAGGCAGAGATGGCCAAGTTGGGACGGAATCCTGGCTCCACTACTTTCTAGCTGGAAATAATCTCTCTTAATCTTCCTTTCCTGATGTGGCGCTGTAGGATAATGTAGGACCACAAGGGCAGTAGTTCAAATCCACTAATTCGACGGCACTTAACAACAATCTTCGTTTCGCTACACTGAAGTGCTGTAATATATGTGAAGTCCTTTTCAGAGTTCCTGGCAGAAGATAACTCTCCAGTAAACAATGGTTCTCAGTCATTCTGCCCATCGGGGCCACCCAACGTCATGTAGTTATGGAATGAGGCAGAACAGGGGTCGTGAGGTTACAAGTGAGGGTTGGCTGTTTCTTAGAGAACAGAGGATTACTTCAACCCTCTTATGTCAGACTCCACAGAAGTCACCCCAACACAGTGAATTCAGGAAACAGGAGAGCTATGGCAGCCCGGGTATTGTAGTGGATTATGAGCTGGGCTGCTAACTCCAAGGTCAGCAGTTTGAATCTACCAGCCGCTCTGTAGGAGAAAGATGAGGCTTTCTGCTCCCTTAAAGATTTACAGCCTTGGAAACCCTATACAGGGTTGCTGTGAGTCAGAACTGACTCCAGGGCACACAACCACCACCATGGCAGTTTGGCAAATTCTCTCTGGGTATAAGCTGGGAGATGGGAGGACTGGAAGCCAGGCAATCATATACACTATTCACTGAGATCCTGACCAGATGATTGTTCCATCGGTTTCAATCTTGTTCTCAGACACACACAGTAAGAAATGTAACTTTGCAAGCTTTAGCTGACCGGAACGGAAAATTGTAGAAACGGGGCATCTCAATTTATATAACTACATACTGGGCTTGTTGTTGTTACGTGCTGTCGAGTCAGTTTTGACTCATGGCAACCCTATATAGGGTTTCCAAGGAGTGGCTGGTGGGTTTAAACTGCCAACCTTGTGATTAGCAGTCCAGTGCTTATCCTACAGCGACCAGAACTCCAAATACTGGGTTTGGCACTTAGAAAAAAGCAAAGCCTCCCACGGTCTCCAGATTTTCCACTCAATGGCAGTTCTTGTGATTGGCCAGTAGATGGCAGCATTAGAGAACAGCAATAATTCTGTGGACGCCACCCTCCCCTCCACACACAATAAATCCACTGTCATCCTGATAGACCAGAGTAGATCTGCTCTTTAGGGTTTGTGAGATGGTAAATCTTTACAGGAGCAGACAGCCTCATCTTTCTCCCTCAGAGCCAAGAAGAAAGAGCAAGTAAAGGAAAGAGGTGTGGTGGTCAGACAGGATGGAGCCACTTTTTTTTTAACATTACTATATGCCTGGCTCTTTACCGAGTGCTTTATTGTGAGATGACCACACTGAGTCAGCTATTAGCCCTATCTTACTGAAAAGGGTCCTGAGTTTGTAATCCTTTCCTATAGTGTCCTGGTGTTGCGCTGTAAAATAAGCTCTGGACCGCAAGGTCAGCGGTTCAGACTCACAAGGCACTCCTCGGAATCCTGGACAGGGTCGCTATATGTCGGAACTGACTCAACAGCACTTAACAACAACAACAGTCACACAACTAGCTAGGCCGGGGGGCAGGGGCAGCGAGGTTGCCTACAGGCAAACCCAGGTATGCCTGGATCCACCTCACCTCATCTCTCGCACTTTGGACATGTCAGGAGGAACCAATGCCTGGAAGTCAGCATGGACACAATGGTCCCTAACAACCTCACCTCACCTCCCTGAACTTCCAATGAGGAGATGGGTTGGGAAGGGTCCTGTGCACATCCCCTCATGCCATTCCCTCACTATTGTTACCTGGCTCTCCCTCACTATCAACCAATCCACACTCCTAACTTCCTTGAGGACCAGTTTCAGCACATGTTCCAATTTTCCCTAGCCACCTCATTCCCTAACTTCAGCCCTTCAGCACTGGCCTAATCTCTAGGGTGCTGGGACTTCAAGTGTGGTCCCTGGACCAGCAGCATGAGCAGCACCGAGTTATAAATGCAGCCTCTCCAGCCCTATCCCAGATCTATGGAATCTGCATCTTCAGGAGAGCCCAGTGTGCCCAAGCTTGAGGAGCACTGGGCTAGCTCACCTCCTAGGCCAAGGGGTTGTTTAAGTGTTCCTCTGGTCATTGCTGGTGAGTCAGGTGGCTCGGTTTCCAGAAGCACCACACCATGCAGTAAATGCCAAGTTGCTTATTAGGACCCGCATTAGGAAGTTAGTGGTTATCAGGTGTATCCCTCATCATCACGAGAGCGTTCTCTAGTCTTTGCTGCATCTAATTCTCAGCGGTCACAGCAGGCCCAGCTATGGGGTCCTGGGGAACCAGGGGACCACTGCTGCTCAATAAAAGAGCTGTCGGCTAGGCTACGGGTGAAACTGCGGCCATGGGCCCCGCAGGAAGAAGAGAGATGTGCATAAGTAATGATGTCACCTGGGGGTGATCCAGTGGGAAAGCAGCTATGGAACCATCTTATCAAGAAGCAGGAAGTGGGACCACTGTATGGGGGTCTGCTTTCTGTCAGGCACACAGAAGTGTTACTCTCCTTAGATCAGGTTGGAGACAGAACAGGGCTGACCAGAAGCAAGACAGATGGGGCCCACTAATGGAATTGCCTAGGCTCCCATGCAGACCTTTGCCCCCCTCTCCCCTGGCCCCCGATGACTTACTGTGTTTCCTCTTTTCTTACCTAAGAATCCTATGAAATAATAGGCGTTATTTGGTTTTCCTCCTAATGCCCCTAATGACTGTGGCATCTTAAAACACTCCTAGAGGAAAAGAGAATGTGAGATTCTCAACTCACTTGTGGACTGCTGCTCACGGATCTCTGTTCACATGGAGGTGTGATGGACACGTAGCAATGGGCTTGGGGAAAGGAGCAACTTACTTTGAAGGCATCAACATAGACAGGGTTGATTTGGTTTATGCCCAGGCGAAGGGGCACAATGAGCAGCAGGGGTTTCCAGGCTGGGCAGCATGCACTGGGAAAACCAGGGGGGCTTTCAGCGGCTGTGTCAGCACTCCAGGGAAAGACCCAGCACATTTTTTCTAGAAACAGATGAAAAGAGAGCTGGGTGAATAAGGTCTATCCAGCCCTAGAAGGGGTCCTGCTGTGGCGCTGTAAGATAAGTGCTGGAATGCTAACCACAAGGTCGGCAGTTTAAACCCACCAGCTCCTCTCAGAAACCCTCCAAAGGGTTGCCATGAGTTGGAACCCACTGGATGGCACACACAACAAGAAGAAGCCCTAGAAGAGACCCCGAAGTCAATACTAAGGGGTCTTCACATGGCATGGCATGGCATGTCTGGGATGTCCTCCATCCTGCCCACCAGGGAGCAGCTTCTCCCCCACCTCTTTCAGTTAGACTGCAAGGGCCTTTGAGATAGGACTATCTTTCGAGTTTCTCTAACGCCTATGGCAGGGAGCCCAAGACTGGATAAGGCTGAAAAAACAAATTGAGACAAAACCCCCAAACAGTTTTCATCCAGTCAATTCTGAGTCCTGGAGCCTACACAAAAGACTAATGGTCTAACTGGCCTGGGGTCTCCTACAGGGAAAAGCTCTGACATCACACTGAGGGGCACCAAAGACCCTCTCATTGTTTTGTCTGAAAGGGAATAGAAAAAATGGTCCAGAGAAGGATCAACTGGAGCCCTGTGTCCTCTTAAAGAGTCTTTGGGTGCTGCAAATGGTTACATGCTGGACTACTAACCAAAAGGTTGGCAGTTTGAACCTACCCTGAGGCACTTCAGAAGAAAGACCTGCAAATCTCTTTCTAAAAGGTGACAGCCTTGAGAACCCCATGGAGTGCAGTTCTGCTCTGAAATACACGGGATGGAAGGCAGGCAGCTGATTTGCAGGGGCAGGCTTTGGTTGGTTGGCTGTGCCTCCTTAAGCTTAATGTCCTATTGGGACACTCTGGAGCTCTGATAGCGTAGTGGTTACAAATTGGGTTGCTAATCTCAGAGTCAGAAGTCTGAAACTACCAGCTGCTCCACTGGAGAAAGATGAGGCTTTCTGCTCCCATAAAGATATACAGCCTTGGAAACCCTGTATAGGGTCCCTATGAGTCGGAACCGACTCCACAGCATATAACCATCACCACCACCAGAGAGACTTTCTAGGGTCTCAACTTTCTAAGGGTGAGGAAGGAGCTCATCACCCACCAACCAGGAAGGTAAACAGGCTTGGGACTCACTGATATCTTCAATGACCACCGTGTTATCCATTGAAACATAAACAGCCAAGGAGTTCCAATCGTCAAATAAAGCAAGTTTTCTGCAAAGCAACACACAATGAAGTCACAATGGGGGAAGATGGAAACATTAGCAGGAAGCAGTACATTTATGCCCACTGTTTCTAAAGCCACGGAATGCTGAATCACAGAGGGATTGCCGTTCACATCAGCACTGGTTTCCTTGCCAGAGCTCTGGGGCATTCCTTGCCCAGAGACACTGAAAATGCCACTATCACTGGATCTGACCCTTAAAAAGGAGATTGCTCTGCTTTATAAAACAGAGTCTGCCTCACAAAAGGATGTTACTCCTATTGGATGAAAGGGGAAAGCTTTGGCTGCATCTGCTCCCAAGAGATTTTGTTTTCTTTTGTTAAAAGACATTTTGGCTTAAGGCTTAGGGGGAGGGGGAACGTGTCATAAAATGTTTGGTAATTAGTAAAGATTATCTGCCTTGAACATTACACCCTTTTAGAGAACTATCTATAAGGAAAAAAACTGACCATGGCAACGCAAAAGTTTTGCTAGGGGGAAGCTTAGGGGGCAGGAGGCAGTGAGTGATATCAACGAGGGAGGAACAATTCAGAAAAGGGGATGAGAACAGTTGTACAACTTGAAGAACATACGCAACGTCGCTGACACACTCAAGGAGAAATCGTTGAAATGCTGTCTGTTCTGTGGTCTATACTTTTAGCAACAATTAAAAAAATACATACACATAAAGGGGTTTAAAAAAGTTCATGGAGAAATGGAATTAAAAAGTAGTGGAATTTTTCCACAGACATTTTGAAGCCTTTATGTATATATACCATCTATAAATGTATCAGGAGTCCTGTGCAGTGTCGTGGGCTACTGTGCCAGACTGCAAAGTCATTTGAACTGCAAAGTCAGTGGTTCAAGCTCACCAGCTGCTCCTTGGAAACCCTATACAGGGTAGCTATGGGTTGGAATCAACTGGACGGCACTTAACAACAACAACATCTAACTATCTATCTACCTACCTATCTATCTAGTTATCTATGTTGTTGTTGTGAAGTGCTATCGAGTCGGTTACAACAAATAGTGACCCTGTATAGGGTTTCCTAGGAGCAGCTGGTAAGCTTGAACTGCCAACCTCGCAGTTCAATTGTCTTTGCAGTCTGGCGCATTAACCCACAG